GGTGATATCTCACAGGTGCACCAGCTAAGGTTGAGTCAGTGTTATAAAGGAGCATCATCCGATGAATTCTCGGATCATCGGAGAGAACTTTATTGGCTTTACACCAGACGAAAGAGGTATTCCCACAAGGTTCACACGCTAGGTACTGTTCAATTTGAACAGGTCGCATCTAAAAAAAAAAAACACTGTACTTTAAATAACGATATATCATTGCTGGAAAAATAATTTACTATTCAAATGCAGTTACTGCTCATGTATTTGCAACCTGAACAAAAGGTTTTGTGTAACCTTGCAACTTAACAAATGCTGTGGACGAAAAGGGAGTATAATCACAGCCTTCGACATAAAAGTGATATAAAAATGCTTGTAAAACATCGGAAATTAAGTGACCCAAATTAGTGCAATAATACAAACCTCAAACAGAAGCTTTTTCGTTAACTCACGATCAGCAAGGCGCTTTTTTAAGTGAGAAATCCTTAACGGATCAACAGGATGCTCGCCACTTTCGGAACGTTCAATAATTTGGCTAATTCCATCGTAAATTTCCATGCATTTGTCAGGGCCAGGAACTGAAGGCATTTGAATTTGATGTTTAACTGCTGCTTCCTCGTTCTAAAATTATTCAAAGTTATCTTTTCTGAATATCAAACAAGTAAAAATCGGCGTAACTAAGTAAAATAATGCAGATCCCTGAAGAATTACCTTCTGGAATGATAACTGACAAGAAAATACTGAATGACCGCGTTGCTCAGCCAAAACAAGCCTGCTACAAAAACTGTGCCCATCTCGTAACACTGTTACATGATACTTAATTGGTTCATCGATAACTGCTAAAAATTATTGTTCTTTACTAACAAATTACTCCTGATAAAATATTCCTACGAATTCCTTAACACATGCCAAAAAAAAACGTCCGAATCTGTACAATCTTCTATCTACAGAGATTGTATGCCGTTTTAATTCATTACCCTCTAGACTAATCAAAGTTTGCTTTCAAATACTACAGATAAGTGTAAGATAAATTAAAAAAATGTTGGTTAGTTAGCCTATCAAAACCCGCTTAGCGAAAGTTTTTAGTCTCCATAAAACAAGAACTACTGAACAAGGAAGCCAACTGATATTACAAATAACCTGCATAAACGAATAGAGAATGTAGTGAATGTACTTTCAGCTCTTCTGGGACAGTACTTTCTGCAGCAGCAAGTGACTGAGCAAAGAGAAGGCCTCCAAACACGGTTGTTGAATGTGAGGTATTTGGCAGAAGTTTTTTGGAACTAAATAAAAGTCAGCATACCGCACACAGCTGTTAAAAACGTTAAATTTTATGTGCATAAGTGGTTAACCAAATTAAGCTTACAACTCACTAATAAACATTGTTACCGGAGCTGTTTAGGTCAAAGTATTCCTCAAGACCAGGTTCATTCATAATCCTATTGATGACACTTCTTGCTGACCGAACCGTGCACTCTGAAAATAATTTTAAATTTGCGCTAATTCATCTGTTATAACGTATTTGCAGTCCTATTGAATGAGATACAGAAATACCAAGGTGTACACCACTGTTCCTTAACAAATCTTCACGTTTTTCGTCATATCTACACTAAAAACTAAATTTCTCAGCAAACAGCAACATGTAAAAAAAAAAATCACTTAGAAAAAAATCACGTAAAATGCAGGCGTCTCTTTGAAGGTTTTTTTTTTGTAATAAAAACACTTCTCTGATTCCTTTTATTTGTGAACGTCATGAAGAATATGGAAGATAATTAATTTTATTTCAGTTATTATTTTCAGCCATAAACAGCAACAAAAACAATTTTTGACTTCTAATGTCATTACATTTTTAAAAAAAATAGTTTTTTCTTTTTTTACTAAAAGAGCAGAGAGTTTATTACGAAGGTGCATCTTCAACAGAAAAACGTCCGTTTCAAAAAACCACTATAGATCGGAAGGTGGTAGTTTCTGAACATCACTCAGACCTAAAAAGTAAAACAGAAAAAGGGCGGAAGCCGCAGTCTCCTCCACTGAAATGAAACAACAAGATTCAGAAAAAAAAAAATCTGTTGTTAGGATACTAGCGACTGATGTTACAAAATTAATTTTTTCACTCTTGCCAAAATTCATTCAGAAGGCTGGCAACAGTAAGTTCAAGGTTTTCGTTAAACTTTTATGTAGCGGCTTTTTGGACGGATCCTAGCTTAATTTCTCAAAACAACAAACTTAAGTTTTGTACAGCCCAACCGACTAAAGGCAACCAACGTAAAACTGTTTATCTGCAAGAATATCAGAACAAAAGTTGATCTGAACTCTTTGCCTCAGTTAAGTTTTGCTCTATCCAGACCCCAAAAAGAAATACCAGCTAAAACTGTTTCAACCGGTGATGTACCGAGTCTCGACGATAAAACAAAATATGTACACTGACGTGTTTCTCTTTTTCTCTTCATTGTTTCTTTTGGGCAACTATTTTTTGTAGTGAACAGCTTAAGTGGGGGTGAGTGTAAAGTTTATCATACAAATAACTGATCAAAATTCCATTAAGGCGTCAATTTTGAAAACCCATCTCCCTCCTCCCCTCCGGCCGGAAAAAAAACTCTATCGTTCCGAACAAAGTTTTTATTGGTTTGCTAAACCAAATATGAAACAGTTCATGGCTGTCATTATATCAGTTTTCAACATAATTTTTCCCCTTAGATTACTATTAGTAGCATCGGCAACGAGAGTAGCAGTGATAAGAGGCAGCAGCAGCAGCATCAGCAACAACAACAACAAGAATAACAAAAACAAAAGGACAGGAAGCAAGAATGACGCTTACTTTTAAAACTTAACGATCGTGTCAGTTGCAGAAGAGTTGAAGTGGCATTCATTATCTTAAAGGTCCTAAAAAACAACAATTTTTTAATACACTCTTACAATTTAATGTACAAAACGGAAACAAACAACAACTTTCTAAACAGCAATACTAATTGAATTTGGTTGCGAAAAACTATGCAGTCATTTGTCACAAAAATT